ATGGTTGATGTGTACCTCAAAGAGTGGAGTTTGGACTAAGAAAATGTTGTACAAATTACCTAGCTAGACCCGGAAATGCACCAAGTTTAAATTTGTAAAAACTATATGTACATGATAGTAGTTAACCTGAATAGTTTAGAGAATATTTAAATTTCTAGAAAAACTTAGACATTTCAGAATGTCGGATGTTACAACCTATGTGTCCCTTTTGTTGGAAAGCGGGCAACAATGACTGGCGCAGAATTCTCTCACTAGGGTGTGTTTGAAAATTTAAAAAATAATTTTTGAAAATCATTTTTTGAGTTTTCAGTGCTTAGATGCGTTTGGAAAATCTGGTCAACGAAAAAATATTTTTAGATTCGGATTGAAGTTTTTAGAACATGTGAGCAAAAGTTTGAGAGTAGAGAGACAGAGTTTTTGAATGCAAGGAATTCATTCGTATGTAAAAACATCTGCTCAACACCATAGTATTTATAGGAGAGGTAGTCAAAAATTAGTAGTAGTAGTGCGCGCGGCAATTAATCTAATTTAAAAGCAATTTGTAGCCTCTCCATAACAGACTATTAAAGTTAGAAATAAAAGTCGAGGTTAGGATAGTTCATAAAAAGTACTTTTTTCAAATGTTACTTAGAGAAACACTTTTAAATTTGACTTTTTGGATTAAATATGCTAATAGAAAATGTTGTTTAACAAACATTTACCTTATCAGTTTGATTAAGTCAAACTCTTGAAGTGATCAAATTAATCAACTTTTGGTAGAAACATTATTTACAAAACAATCCCAATAGTACCCCTGTCCTTCATTTGAAAATGGTTGCTTTTATAGTCATCAAAAGACCTTTAGATAGGCAAAATGGCGAGAATGGAAACAGGGTGAAGGAAGTGGACAAATTGAATTAAATTGATCGAAATTATTACTCTAGTATTAGCAATATACAAAATAAAAATAAAAAAATTGAAACAACAAGAATAATATATGACTCAAATTGATATTTAAAAAAAAAAAAACAAAAAAACAAAAAACAACAAAATAGACTTTTTTTAGTACTATATATTGACAATGTAGTATCTGTTTTATATTTTTTCTATCGAGCAAATACCACGAGTATTAGCAAAATTACACTTTTAGTCTACATGTTTAATTCCTACTAATTTTCATCCACGACTATTGTTTTAGTACCAATTTTCATCCACAATAATTGTTTTTAGTGCCAAAATTGATCACGCAGGTCATCCCTTTGTTTAAGACATGCCGAAATATGAAATTATTAAGGGTAATTTCATCTTTTTCAAATAAGATCCTAATTTGAACATAAATAAAGGGATTTAAACCCTAAGATCGATCTTAGTTCGCAAATCTCCTCCTCAAATTAAGGTAGGATGAGGAGGAGAATTGCGAATTGAGATCGATCTTTGGGCTTAAATCCATTTATTCATGCTCAAATTGGGATCTTAAGTTTAAAATGACGAAAATACCCTTAAAATTTTATGATTCAGCATGGGTTACCAACGTGATGAATTTTGACACTAAAACAATAGTCGTAGATGAAAATTGGTAGGAATTAAACATGTGGACCAAAATTGTCATTTTGCTAATACTCGTCGGACTAAAATTGGTATTTGCTCTTTTTCTATTGTAGTCCAAAGAGTCAAGGATCCTATGATATTCCCTCAAGGAGAGCCACAAATGTGTAATCTAAGCACAAGGTGCTATGATATTCCCTCAAGGAGAGCCACAAATGTGTAATCTAAGCACAAGGTGTTTGGCAACAACAAAATAGACTTAATCTTTAAGAGTTACGCTTTTGTATGATCCACCGATGAATCCTTAGCCGTCCTACTGAAGCACAAAGAGCCAATAACGCCTCCACTAAGGTTCGAACTGACAACCTCTTCCATATGGAAGTCCAACCTGGATGCCATCTGAGCACAAGGCGTTTGGCTCTATTGATTAAAGTATTGTCAAGTATTATGTAGTTTGATGTCACCTCTATTGCCATTCTAAATTTTTTTTTTGGTTGCCCAAAAGGTATTCCTCTAGCCGAATCCTCCGTCGCTACTGTCAGCACACTAATGGGCTGTTTGGTTCACGGAATAGGCCTGGAATGGCATAGCATTCCAAGTAATAGGCCTATTCCTCTATTTGGTAACCACTTGTATTCCCAGGAACATTGTTCCCGGGATGTTCTCGGGAATCATGACCTATTCCCCTTGCAAGGGGAATAGAGATTCTTGGGACCCCCTTAGTATTAGGTTATTCCTGAGTTCTCCAGAATAGCCTAAAGTTTCTATTTCCTATTTTACCCCCTAATTAAATTTATTTCTTAAAACATATTTCATTTCTATTCATTAAATCAACCAAACACTATAATGTAATCCTAATAGAATACAATTCCTATTCTCCGTAACCTCATACTTAAAGGACGTAGTGTTGAACTTCCACACCAACCATGTTGGTTATTACAATTCTAAATGAGTGATCGGATTATATTAAATCCCAAAAAAAATAATATTTTAAAAAGTATCACATTTTGAGACAACACACACCAATTTTTACAAATCTCCGGATAGAGTAGGGTATAAAATGGGAGTATGCTAATTACACACCAATGAAATTGAATAAATTTATGAAAAGAATACATACACTAACTACAATATAAGCAATGAAATATGAGCAAAGAAATAGGCAGCTATACAGAGCCATGGAACAATGGTGGAGGGGCTGTTGTTTGATGGATGGCTTCCATGAGGATACACCGGTACCGGACGCACTCCACTTCCGCCGCCGCTTCTGCTCCCCGTCGTATCTCCGCCGCCAACAGTGCCTCTATCACTTGCGCCGCCGCCGCTCCTCCCTCCACTCCTAGAGCTCCCACCGCCCTTGGAACCTCCCCCACCGCCTCCTCTAAACCCGCCGCCTTTCGCCCATCCGCCGCTTACAAGGAGGCATACGATGCAAAACACAAGAATAGCCTTCATTTTTCTCTGTCAATTTTCTGAGATTTTTTTTTGTTTTTTTTTTTTTTTCTAAGCTCTTATCCTTCAGGTTAGAGTTATAATCTTCTGTGTATATATATTGGGAGATCGTCTGATCTCTAATATGATAAGAACGTTGAATACACGGTCAACACAAAGTTTCAAAGAAAGTTTCTATCATACGCTCTGAAACTTTCGTATTAGTCGTGAATTAATTATAAAATGAATATATATATAATGGTGAACAAGCTAAGGACCCATTCACCCATCAATGATTGAGTGTAATATTATCTTTGAATTCTTTAAACTAATGTATGCTGTAAGCTATTAGTTTTAAAGATTTTTTTTTTTTTAATTAATTGGATAAGGGCAAAAAGTGTTAATTTGATTTCTATAATACCTCAATGTCGTCAAATTTGTATATGCTTATGTTCTGTTTAATTAAAATTTCAATAATTTGTCTTGGACTTAGCATGTTAGATACAAATAATCTTAACTATATTGAACAATAGTATACGAAAAATCTAACCTTGTATGGGAGCGGAAGCGTAGTCGTGTTGATCCCCAGCCACAGTTGATGTTTTTGTTGTGTTGCTTCTGAACGGTAAACCGTTAGCCATATTTTGCTTCATACCTGACTCAGACCCCTAGATGGTGTATTAGTGTCTACTGAGCAGTATGAGTACCATAACTGAATGTGTTATATCATCCATCATCTTGCATCCCATCAATCCAGGATTATATTTTACCCGCATGGACAGCTCAACTGGTCACAGAGGTGAAACTTTGGAAGAATGATCAGCAACAGTGTGGGAGCAACCTCTCAAAGTGAGGGGGGTTCCTTGTGCACAGTGAGCACAGGTTTAGCCACATCGGCAATTTATATCCTACACCACAGCGCGCGTTGCACTATGCGCCCAGATGCAAAACGACGTCGTTTTAATTATTTTTTTTTTTGAAATTTTCCGCCCCAGTGAATGGCAGTAGTTTTTTCTTAAAAAAAAAAACCCGCTGTTCAAGAATGTACATAATGTTATATTAGAATACACATAATGTTATACATGAATGTACATAATTATATAACAAAATATACATACTCTTTTTAAAAGATAATACACATAATCTAACATAATACATAATAAACATAAACTTTTAACATCATACACATCAACTCGTAACATAATACACACAAATTTTCTGATCCGGATGTACATAATTGTATAAAAAGAACGTACATAATTGTATAAAAAATACACATAACTGTATGAATCAATACACATAACGTTGTGAACAAATACACATAATCTCAGCAACTTCCTACCGCGCCTCCCAACACTACCCCAAAACGACGTCGTTTTGGGAGGCGCGCGGCGCACAGTGCTATGTGCGCCGTGGTGTAGGATATAACGATTGAGCCACATCCTCCCAAATGCTCTGTCGGGTCGGGTTAGGGTTCAGCCTTTCGAAGAAGGATTATATTATTAGACCTTGTCCACTTGCACCACTTAATTAAGGCCCTTATTAGGCCTTGTCCACTTGCACCACTTAATTAAGGCTCATATATATTATCAAGGAAAAATCTTACATTCTCTCACTCATAGTGACATGTCCTCTATTTAATCAAAGTAGTACCATTATGGTCACATGCAATTTAATATAAACCTCAATATTAAATTAAAATTCAAATAGCAAATTTAAAACTTAATATTTGTCCAAAATTGAATGATAATTTAATAATAACTGAAAGAGGAATTAATTTGATCAATAAGCTAGAAGAAGTCTAAATATGATGATGGAGAACTAAACTACTAAACCCCTCGTTTTCTTTCTTGAAAACATCTAAACTAATAAAAATAGCAACTTTAAAATCAACAAAATGTACTGTAAAATACAAAAAACTAACATGCATTAATTATTTTTGAATTGCTCATGTTTATCACAAGTTTTTAAGATAATACCAAATAAGATGCTGCAAAATTTGATTAAAAAATAATAATAATAACATTACCCTCTAGTAGACCAAATTTTGGGCAAATTGAATAACAATTCTCATTGCTTATTGTTTTCTTGACTTTGATTCCAATGTAATCAATAACTATTCTTTACAAATATTCCAATTAACCCAAAACCATACTGCAGAATCACTGATGCATATTAGAGTTTCAGAAATGTACATGACTAGTTTGAGCAGGCAGCATCAGAATTTAGATGCCAGATTCTCAAAATCTTCCCAATCTGCCTTCCAAGTCTCGTTCCAATTCAGGTTTAACATCGTCGTGTAACTGTACTTTTCCAGAACTCGCTATGACTCCATCAGCTAGTCTTTTTACATTGCTCTATCATCCCTTTCGTGACTCTGATCTAGAAAATCTCCGGTACGAGAACCACTTCCTCAGCGAGGGAACCGACCTGCATTCATAGTTGCTTGCAACAGTAACACAGTCTTCCTCATCGTTGTTGATATCTATGCAATGGTAATCTAGCTTTCCCTGATGATTATTTTCTTCTTTGCATTCCGGCTGCCTATCTCCGTTGCCTTTAGATCTGCATAATGCATTTTATTGCCAAAAGTTTAGGCAGCACCCGTTAGTTGATATATGAATGGATGTCAACTATTTCTGGATGCTTATAATCTAATAATGGTGCTGTTAAGAGTCCAACGTTGATGAGTAAGAGAGAAACATGTGTTTATAAGAAACAAATATTTTTAACGAGAAAATGATTTTCCGCCATGATCTCACATACAAGAATGCAAGTGAAAAAGGAACTTACTGTCTGGGCTCATCCATACAGGTGTCCTCTCTTTCTGATCGTGTTTTTACAGGGTAACTAATGGAGACATGTCGCAAAAATTCAAGCTGCAAATATTAAGCAAGGAAAACACAGACACACACAAAAGAACATTTGAAAAATTGTTATTAATGCAATTTTTGAAGATATATTTAAAATATCAAAGGTTAGCATAAGGTCAGAAATGAGAAACTGGGGAAAGTGTGAACAAGGTGTAATGCTTTTGCCTCAACTCGATTTTCATTTCTAGCATTTAATGTGTACTTGGACATAGAATTTGTAACCAAAGGACATTAATACTTTAAACTCATAAATCACATATTATTCACAATCAAGACAACGCTAATTATTATTTGGTTTCACCTGCAATGAGAGAGAACAGAAATATGTTCAATTGTAGAAGTAGAAAACTAACATCATGATCCAAAATCATTCAACTGCTTGGAGTCTGTAATGCTCAAAGGTTTAATCTATACTTGCATTCTTAAAGCTATCCTAATGTCTCATTTTCCCGATTACAAAATGTTTTTGATTTCCAGCAACCACAGTCAAAAGGAAACAACGCATTAGATCGGGAAGGCCTAGCTAGCTATTGACAGCATACCTGATCACCTTCCTTGATTCCATAATTTCCTATAGAATCAGAGTCGGTGAGAAGCTTCTGACCATCATAACTCAAGCAAAAATTTCCCCATACATGCGACCTGAATAAGATCAAAACCAAAGTTCATAAAAGTTAGAAAGAGCTCCTCAAGACAATCCGATCACATCTAGCAAATATATAGATGACCTTTAAGACAGTTCAAGTCTAATCAGGATTCAAGAGAATTAAGTAACATCAACTGCTCAGGAAAACGACAACTACAGTAAATTAATTCACTATGGCAAATACCCTCAAGTTCAAGAACCAAACAGTGAACTGAAAGAACAAAAGAGCCAATATAATAATAGCATAACATCTAAACCAAGTGGCAAAGAGAATGTTTTAGCTAGTGTCTTAACAAGATGAATAAAACAATGGGGATCAAGGACTTCAAACTCCATTATCTTCTGCACATGAACCATCCAAATTAGAGAATTTCGACGGATCTTTTTAGCATGAAATACAGAAATTCCTACTCTGCTAGTATGGATACAAAACCAAATATTTGAAAATTCACTAAAGATGCAAATTTGATCCCACTTTTCCCTGTAACATACAATATAAGCACATACCATGAGACTGTGCCCGGACCATTCTTGGGCAAATGACGGAACGCCGCCTCCACCCCTTTTTTCAGGTTAACCACAGTCCCATTCCTCGCTACATAGATCTCTACAAAACCCCACAAGAACCAATTGTCAAAAATTACTACATGTACGAATGTTCATATACATTTAAACAAACAGCTTATAAGCAGAGATAGAGGGAGTTATATGAAAGGATACCGAAACAAGTGCCGTCCAATTTAAGAACGGTGAGCCTGATGGGCTCCTGCGGGAGCTTGTTGTAAACGCTTTTCCTGGAAATTTTATCGCGCAGCGAGAATGGGACTCCACAGGAAGACAATGAGACCCTTGGGCTTTCTTTATAGGTTTTCGCTCCGTGAACTTCCATACTTAAAGACTAGAAAACCACAGCCACCACCGACTCAACGTTCATCACCATTTATAAGAACACCATTTTTTTCCCTTATTATTATTAGTGTTCTCTCTTTTTTTCTACTTGGAAAAGCATAGAGAAAACCTTCTCGAAGGGCTTTCGTATTGATTTCAGAGATTCTTTGGTGAAGAGTTGAAGGCAGGGTCTGACTTGTGTTTGGAGAGATTCTAGACAGAGAACGGGAGAAGAAGAGGAGAGAGATAGGGATCTCTCACCTCTTCTGCCTCACGCAGACACGCAACTTTCCCTGTGTGTTTTGGGTGATTTCTTCCAAACTTTCGCATCCATGACCAGCTACCCAGGTTGGGTGATTTCTTCATCTGCACGAAGGAAGTGACGCCGAGGCTAATTTAATCCCAATTCTATTTTAAATTCAAAAGTGGATTATTATCTTTATTTCAAGATTTTTTTTAAAAAATATCATATCAACACATTATTAAAAAAGAGTATAAAAAATTAATTATACATTTTATTTTTGCAAATGTATAAGCGACACCGTTCGCAGATCGCTTAACAAAAAAATTCAAACTATCAAACATAGATGTAATTTCTTTAATATCTTTCACAATCGATCTAAACACACCATTCTCGAAATCACCCCGAATAGCATCCACCACTTGTTGTGCCTCCCGTTTCACATCAACACACTTCGTCCGTAGCCCCTTGATCCAACTAAGACCTTCCCTAATCCCCACCACCCTTGCCTCTCAGGCCATAAAAATCCTGTTGTGACAATTGTTGAAAATATTTTAGAATTAGTTATATTAATTAATTAGGATGGTTATCTTTAAACTATTTTAGATTTATTTTGTTAGAATTATATTATTATTTAAGTTTATCTTAGTTTGTTGGTTAGGAATACTTTATTATATTTTTAATAATTATCTCATTTACAATTTATGTGGTTGTAGTATGTTTGTTAATGACTATTTAAGGTCATTGCATGCCAAATAAAATATAGAGTTCAGAATTTTTGAACTAGAAAACTAAGGGGCCGTTTACTAACTGGAAATTTCTGGGAATTTCCGGAAACTGAAAAACAGAAAACAGAAAACATGTTTACTAACACTGTTTTCATTTTCAAAACTGAAAATAATTTCTGAAAATTTCTGGAAAACTGAAACACACTTAAAAACTGTTTTCAAAATAGAAAACAGAATCATCTATCATCTATTTAGTTATATGTCACTATAACCACATTACAATGATTACATTCATTATCATCTTATTTTACTTATCACTATTTTATATCTTTTCTACTTACTTTAGTTATTTAAACATAATTTATTTGCTTACACTTTAAAGTTAGACATTATTTACATTATCAAAATTAAGAATTAAACTCTATATAATGTTTTAGATTTTGATTGAACTCAATATATTATTAGTTCGAATATTTTTAATTATGTTACATCATAATACAAGTTCAGTCTAGATATCGGATATTGAAATCTCACATATATTAGAATTCAGAAAACAGAGAACAGTTTTATGTTAGTAAACAAGTTTTCTAAACCGAAAACAGAGAATGAAAACTGAAAAATTAGAAAATGAAAACAGAGAACAGTTTTCTGTTAGTAAACGGACCCTAAGTGTTTTCTAAGACTCGGAATGAGTTCGGCCGTGAGTTGGTCATGGCAAACTTGACTTATCAAGTGCAAAACCTCACTTGTGCCGTCATCCCAAATCCTACGTATAACCGTATAACCCGATGTGGTCGAGGACTTATCAAAACCCAAAAATCAGCCCATTTTCCCACCTAAATCAAGCCTTCAATTCAAATTCACCCAACTGAATAAATTATCCTACAATATTTTATGTAATTCGAGTGTGAAGAGAAAATCGGGGCAACCAGGTTCGTATCATTTGGTATCAGAGCCCACGATTGTCTCTTCATGAAGACTCATGGAGCTTCAACGACGCGTGGAACGTGGATTCGAGGACGAATCCCCCTAAAGAGAGAGGGAATGTTGTGGCCACGTGAATTGTTTGAAAATATTTTAGAATTAGTTATATTAATTAATTAATTAGGATGATTATCTTTAAAATATTTTAGATTTATTTTGTTAGAATTATATTAATATTTAAGTTTATCTTAGTTTGTTGATTAGGATTAGTTTATTATATTTTTAATTATTATCTCATTTATGATTTATGTGGTTGTAGTATGTTTGTTATTGGCTATTTAAGGTCATTGCTTGCCAAATAAAATATAGAGTTCAGAATTTTTGAACTAGAAAACTGAGTGTTTTCTGGGACTCGGAATGAGTTCGGCCGTGAGTTAGTCATGGCAAACTTGACTTATCAAGTGCAAAACTCCACTTGTAGCGTCATCCCAAATCCTACGTATCACCGTATAACTCGGTGTGGTCGAGGACTTATCAAAACCCAAAAATTAGTCCATTTTCCAACTTAAATCAAATCTTCAATTCAAATTCACCCAACCGAATAAACTATCCTACAATATTTTATGTAATTCGAGTGTGAAGAGAAGATCGGGTAAACCAAGTTCGCATCAAACCCCCTCCCAAATTGTCCCATCAGCCGCTACAAAACATCTAATTGCATTACGAAGCTCCTACCCAAAACCCATACACCGCCATCCACATTCAATCGCAACATTCACGTTCAATTTCACTTGGTCCCACACCGTTCTCACCCATCTCTCATGTTCACGTACACCCCTCCTCCCCTTGCCTAACTTAGCACCATGAGTCATCCTCTATGCATGCAAGAAAGGCAAACCTCCTTACAAATTCTGCCAACCTCCACTCTACTCTCATTCCACATAATAGCATTCCGACAACCCCACGCCCCCCACAAACTCGAGCATATAACGACAAAACTACAAAGCTCATTTGTCGTCAACACTAAGAAACACCTCTCCACCCACTACTACAAACCACCACTCTCATCCGCAAAAACAACCACCCCCACTGTCTGATGTCACTATCGTGCTATAGCATAGTCCAAAAAAAATTGGAAAGTAGTCTCCCTCCCCCTATCGCACAGCACACACTCCAACCATAATCCTCCTATCCCGCAACCTATCTTTCGTATGAAGACAAGAACTACTCAACTGCACACAAACACACACACGCACACACACACACAAAAACCTTGGTTTTAGGCAGTCTTTGAAACCCCCAAAGCTCATCCCCCCCCCCCCCCCCCCCCCAATCGACACCTCCATTGCTCTTTCCCCTACTAAAAAACGGTAATAACTTCGAACTGTATACCTACTTGTACGATCAAACACAAAAAACTTCTCATCAAGAACTTGACGTGCGGACAAAGGGAGTGCCATAATACACTCTCTATCTCGATCACTAAATAAATCACGCAACACGTCCGTATCCCATCTAGTAGGAACCCCTATCATCAAAGAACTAACTTTAATACCCATCAACTCCTTGAACTGCTCCAACTAAATAAAAGGATGTACCTCATCAGGAATCCATCATTCCCCCTAAACCTAAATCGACTCCTTCACTTGCTACCAACACCCACCACCACCCCTTATGCTTTCAACAAATTTTGACAAACGTAGGGCATATTATTGCCCTATAACAGCTTTAAGAAAAGAAGTCCGAGGAAAATACCTGCCACCAAAGAGTTCGGCCTCATCAGGAGCTTCCACAGCAATGCTACATTAAACTCACGCACCCTCCGAAGGCACATTGTTGAAACTGGGCTCACTTTAGTGGCTCATGCGTCTGTCCCATCTCATTTTTTGGATTTTGCATTTGAGTCTGTCATTTACTTTATTAATAAAGTGCCTACGTCTGTTCCGCAAGGTTCTAGTCCACACTTTCTATTACATAAGTATCCTACGTGTTTTTGGTTGTCTGTGTTATCATCATCTTCGTCCGTACAACAATCACAAAATGAGTTTTAGGCCTGTTTCGTGTGTCTTGTTGAGTATCCTGAGTCTTTTAGCAGGTATCGTTGTATGGATCTTAACACTAACAAGGTCTTTATCTGTAGGCATGTTCATTTTGACGAGCATGTTTTTCCTTTTGCTAAGCCTGTTTTGCATAATTCTATTGGTGTGCCGGAGTAGTCGTGGGCTGTTTCTCGTGTTCAGGCTCTGTGTGTTCCTTCGGTTGTGCCTTCTAAACCTGTTCGGCCTGTTGCTCGTACTCGGGCACCTCGGACTACATCTCAGCCTCCTGCTCGGGCGCCTGTTATGACGAGGAGTCAATCCCGAGCTGAGGGTGCGATTCTGGTTGCTTTGTCTTCTAAGGTATATGTCCGACTGAGCCTACTTGCTATACACATGCGGTAATGTTTCCAGAGTGGAGGGAGGCTATGGACGCGGAGTTTAATGCGCTGATGCAGAATCAGAGTTAGTGGCTTGTGCTATATCGTGCATGTATGAATGTCGTTGGGTGTAAGTGGGTTTTTTGCACCAAGTGTAAGGCCAATGGCTTTATTGAAAGGCACAAGGTGCGACAGGTGGCTAAGGGATTTAACCAGGTGGCTGGCTAGGAATTTTTTGACACGTTCAGCCTCGTGGTTAAGCCAACCATGGTCTAGTTATTGTTGTCCTTGGCGTTGAACTCGTGATAGGTCATTCGCCAGCTGGATGTGCACAATGCATTTCTTAATGGGACGCTGGTTGAGACGGTATATATGCATCAGCTGCCTGGGTATGCGGACAAGGAGTTTCCCGATGATGTTTGTTTCTTACAAAAATCTTTGTACGGGTTCAACCAGGCTCCTCGGGCCTGGTTTACTAGACTGCATAACTTTCTCTTGTCTATTGGTTTTCGGGCGTCGAAAACAGATGTTTCTTTGTTTATTTTTTTCATAGGGGGAGATGCAAGTATATTTGTTTGTTTATGTGGATGACATCCTGGTTATGGGCAGTGATTCGGCACTCGTCTCTACACTCATTTCGAAGTTGTCTACTGCCTTCAGGATTCGTGATTTGTGTGCCCCCCGGCTTCTTCTTACGCATTGAAACAGTTCGTTGTCCCATAAGAATGCTCCTCTCTAAAAAATGATATATGATTGATATTCTCAAGCGTGCAGGCATGTTTGAGTGCAAAATATTGGCGACCCTAGTGCCTGTTTCTTGCCCTATTGCTGGCTTGGATGAGCCTTTTGCCGATCCCACGAAGTATAGGAGTCTGGCTGGTGCTTTGCAGTATCTCACAGTAACTCGTCCCGACTTATCCTACGCAGTTAACTTGTTGTGCCAGCACATGCATGCTCCCATATAGTCGCATTCGGCTCATCTTAAGAGGGTGTTGCGATATGTTAAGGGGACTTTACACTATGGTTTGCAGTTGCATAAGTCTTCTAATACTGACATTCATGTGTTCTCTGATTCGGATTGGGCTGGCTGTCCTACGGACCGAAAATCTACGAGTGGCTTTGCTGTTTTCCTGGGCTCTAATCTTGTTTCTTGGGTTTGTAAGAAGCAGCGTACGGTGCTAAGGTCCTCTAATGAAGCTGAGTACAAGGCTCTTGCTGATGTCTGTGATGAGGTAACTTGGCTTGTGGCTTTTCTGCGTGAGTTAGGTGTGTCTTCTGTGACTGTTCCAAAGCTTTGGTGTGATAATCTAGGCGCTACTTACATGTGTGCCAATCGCGTTTTCTATGCCCGTACGAAGCATTGAGATAGATTATCACTTTGTTCGTGACAAGGTGGCTGCAAGTGATCTACAGGTCAATTTTATCTCTACGAAGGACCAGTTGGCAGATATATTTACAAAACCGCTGCTGCTCCGCGGTTTGCGTTTCTGCGCGACAAGTTGCAGGTTGTTGCTCCCAACTAAGCTTGAGGGGGAGTGTTAGGGCTCTTAGCAGTTTACAATCCTAGTCCAGTTATATCTCTATTCTATGTTTATATTCAATCTATGTAACTTTGTGTAGTTTTGAACCATTCAATAATACAAATCCTAATCAGAAGACCAATGCCTAGCGTCCACAATAAACTCATCACATTAGGTATAAATCCACACTACGACTGCTCGATTTTGATTCTGCATTCTTATCCATGATTTACCATCTAAATTCCCCGTGTAAGTGTCACTCAAATAACTTGAGTGCCCCACATGATATATTTATTACAGTCCAATTAAATATGCATCCTTATTATTTGCAACCCAAAGTGCTTCAAAACTTTAATTGCAACAGAATAGATGAATTTTTTGTCCAAATCCATCACAGAATGGTAAGTAATACGAGAGAAATAAAGAAGTGTATGAATACTAAATAGTGTATGAAACAAGATGCTAGGCAATTAGTGTGTTTGGTTAATTGGTTAAACATGGGAATCAAAATTTTATACGAATTAAATACTTGGTACTTGTAATGGGTTTTGGTGAAAGTATTTTGCATGTTTGGTAGTAGGGTGAGATTGAAATGATTTTCAATATTGATGTTTGGTTATGTATGACCATATAATCAGAATAAAGATTTTGAAAATACAAAATGAAAAAATCAAGGCAATTGGTCTTAAGAATGACCATGAAGTGAGTAGGCAATTCCTTCGAGAAATCGATGAAGTGAGGAGCAATGAAATGAGGAGGGATAAAGCTAAATTAATGGGATGATACCTTATTTAAATTAGGTAATGAGTTTTGTAATTATAGGAGTAATCAAATCTATACCTATGTTTTAAAAATTTATCAACCAAACAATATATATGACTTTCATTCATAATCCTTGTATCTAATCCCATGAACGGGTGTGTTTGGAAATCCGAAAATTGATTTCTGGAAATCATTTTTCGGATTTCTAGTGTTTGGCTAGGCAAAGAAAAGAGGAGTCAAAGGAAAATAACTCAAAGTCAATGAAAAATCACTCCACTTTTCCAAAAAATGTCTTACCCTTTTTTTGGGGGGAAGTCAATTTCCATCGTCATCATATGCATACGGAACTTGCAATCTACACGCCTCCATCTGCGAGCTTCAGCTTCCATCAACACAAAAACAGACTCCACCAACAAATCCATCACCAGAAAATCTCCACCCTCCACCGGAGACTTCCTCATCACTAGTTTTCGATGCGGAAACCAGTGAGAACTGGTTTCCGTAGTCGGAAATCACTTGCAACTGGTTTCTAACCGCGAACGGAAACCAGTAATGAATTGGGAAGATGTTTGTGATATTTTTTTTTTATCTCTTAGTATTTATTTATTTTTTTTGAATTGTGAAATCAATTTCTCTTATTTGTGTAGTGGTTGTTTTGGGTTCATGTGTTTATTTGTTTTGACTGTACTACTGTATTTTTTTTGAATTGCAAGCTAGGGAAGAACACAGCTAGGGGTGGGAATAGGCCAGGCCCCTACCAGGGGCCTATGGCCTGGCCTGTTTAGGGCCTGGCCTGGCCTGGCCTGTTTAGTTAAAAGGCCAGGCTTAGGCCTAGTTAATAGCCTATTTAGTTAAATAGGCTTAGGCTTATATGTGAAAGCCTGGCCTACGAGCCTGCAGGCCTGGCCTGTTTATGTATATAATATATATAAAATATATATTTAATATTAATTATTTTATATTATATTTTATAACTAATATTTTGTAATAATTACAATATAACCCAGTATATATATATAAGTATAAAGTCAATATCTGATAACCCTAGGACTGTCTGCGTTTGTGGCTTTGTGGACACAAACTGTCCTGTACTCGTTTCTTCTCCAAAAATCGAAATCTTCGAATCGACTAACGCGACTCCGGCGAGGCTGCGGGCGGTGAGGCGGCGTGGCGAGGTGGCGACCGGAGTTGGACAAGCGGCGACCGCAGTTGGACGACTCAGACTGCTTTTCTGCTATCTGCTTGGTGGCGACCGGCGACCGGCGATCGGAGGTTAGTTTTATTAATATACGTTTGTTTGTTTAATTGTTTATTGAAGTAGACACTCAGACCTGCGTTTCATCACCTGTTTATTGAAGTAATATGCATACTGCCTTGACTGTTATTTAATATACACAGGCCTGAGTGTTGTTTAAGCAGAAATATGTGGCCACGATTATCAATTTATCACACACACTCTGACAATTATCAGAATAATAAAAACCAATAGCATGAACTCATACACGTAATAAACCTATTGAAAGCAAAGATCAAGTAATGAATCTGCTAATTAAAGGACACAGTGATTGTATATGGTCAACAAAGTAATTGACAGTAGTTATTATTTAGTTCAAATAACTAAATAAATAAATAAATAACTAAATAAATAATGTTATGCACTTATGCACTAATAAATTGATTAGTTATACACTAATAAGGAACTGCAAGTCTGCAATGAGCAATTTAATTAGTTTATTACTATAAACAATTATTACTCAGTTTATTGATTAGTTAAGCAGACTAATAAATTGATTAGTTATAATATTAATTATTATAAACAACTAAACATAATTAGTTTTTTTTTTTACTATAATTAGTTTATTACTATAAAGTTTATAGTTTAGTTGTTTATAATAATTAATATTAGATACTTAGATGTTACTTTGTTTATGTGTTTTAATGGCTGAATAATTATAAAATTATATAGGATGACAAGTAACAATACAAATGAATCTATTCCTGAAGAAGTGAATGTGCAAGTTACAACTACAACTCCATCAATTTCTTCAAGTCAACCAATTGAAAGTAACAATTCTGAAGAAGTCAATAGGGTTGATAATGATTCAATCTTAACAAAAAAGCGGAAAAAAACATCTCCGGTATGGAATGATTTTGAAGAAATTGAACTTGCTAATGGTACAAAGAAAGCAGTGTGTTTGTATTGTAAGGAAAAATACTCTACTGGTGGAAAGGGTGCAAGCACTAGCCATCTTAAGAGGCACTCAGAGATTTGCCTGCAACGGAAGTTGCATATCTCTCGAGAAAATAAACAAACAACGATACAATTTCGGCCGCCTAGTGAATGTGGTGGTAATCCCTTTATTGTTCCTAATGCTAAATACTCCAATGAAAAGATGAGAGAGATTATTGCTAGTGGAATTATGGTGCATGAGCGACCATTTAGCATCGTAGAGGATGACATGTTCATGTGGGCTTTTGAATATGCAAATCCAAATTTTAGAAGAGTCAGTCGTAAAACAACAAGAAGTGATTGTTTGCAATTGTATGAAGCTGAAAAGAATACTTTGAAAAGGATTTTGAATAATGTGAGTAAGGTTAGCATTACAACAGACATGTGGAAGTCAAGTCACCAAGTAGTTGAGTACATGGTTGTGACAGGTCATTTTGTTGATGCAAGTTGGAACCTTCAGAAGAGAGTTTTGAATTTTGTCAAAGTGCCTCCTCCTCGACGAGGAACAGATATAGCAAATGCTATTTTCAAGTGTTTGAGAGGATGGGGCATTGAGAATAAAATATTCTCAGTAACTGTTGACAATGCATCTTACAATGACTCTTGTGTTAGAAGTTTGAAAGAAAACATGTCATTGAGCAGTAAGTTAGTACTTGATGGTCAACTTTTTCATGTTAGATGTTGTGCTCACATTCTGAATTTGTTGGTGCAAGATGGCCTTAACACTATTAAAGATGTCATTCATAATGTTCGTGAAAGTGTGAAATTTATAAATTCTTCAGATGCAAGGCTAAAGTCATTCCATGAAGTTGTTGAATTAAAAGGATTGAAAGAAAGGAAACTTATTCTTGATTGTCCAACAAGATGGAACTCCACATTCTTGATGTTGTGTACTGCAAGTAAATTTAAGCATGCATTTTCAGATTACAATGAAAAAGAGCCCCATTATAAGTATGCACCATCATTTGAGGATTGGGACAAGATTGAGAAGGTTTGTAAACTTTTGGAGGTTTTTAATGATGCAACTCATGTCATCTCAGGTAGTGATTACCCTACTTCTAACTTGTATCTTGCTGAAATTCAAAGGGTGAAAAAGGTTATTGATAATACAGCTGAGTGTTTTGACATGTTCATGCGTGAGATGACAAAACCTATGAAAGCAAAATTTGACAAATATTGGGGGGAGTGTAATTTGTTAATGTCTATTGCATGTGTTTTAGATCCAAGGATGAAATTAAATGGTATTAAGATAACTTTTCCCTTATTGTATAAAACACCAAGTGATGTTGAAAAGAATGTGGAGAAGGTGAAAAGGGCATTAGAAGATTTATATCTTGATTATGTGAACTTGTATAGTCAAGATGCTTCTTCTACTAGTGGACATAGTGAAGTCAATGTTGAAAGCAGCACTCTGGTTGATGGTGGACAACAAATGGATAAAGGGATGCAAGAATTATTGAGTATGGTCTACCAAAGTCAATCAATTCCTCTTACGAAATCAGAGTTGGAGACTTATCTTGAGGAAAATCTTTTTATTCCTTCTTCTACTTCATCCTTTTGTGCCTTGGCGTGGTGGAAAAATAATAGTCCAAAGTTTAAAGTTTTATCAAAGATGGCTTCTGATATACTAGCTGTTCCTATTTCAAGTGTGGCATCTGAATCCACATTTAGTGCCGGGGGAAGAGTCATTGATGAATATCGTGCTAGCTTAAATGAGGAATCTATTGAAGCTCTTATTTGTGGTGGGGATTGGCTTCGTAACAAGTACGGGCTGAAGAAAAAACAAAAGGTAAGAATGTACTTGTTACTTTAATATTTTATATTATTTTATATTACTGCTTGTTACTTTAATTATGAGAACTTGAACTTGTAATTGACTTCATTATTTATTCTCAATTTTTTTCATTGTGTAGGGAGATTCTGGACAACAGGAGATTATGTTGAAGCCATGACTTGTTTCATTTTATGTTTGAATGCTATTGTTGTTATTATGTTTAATGTTTCATGTTTGTATTGTGAACTTATGATTTCTGTTGTTGTTAAACTTGTGAGTTGTGAATTTGTGATGGACTTTTGTATTATGGACATGTAGACTTGATGTTATCAAACTTGTATGGTTTTTGTATTATGAACTCGTACTTATTAAACTTGTAGGTGTTGTTTGACATTTTATTATAAAATATGAACTTAGTTTTGTCATTTATGAATATTGGTTGATTCACTTGATTGTAACTTAATAATATAATTATTTTTTATAGGTATATTCATATATATATAATATTTAAAAGGCTTTAAAATGTAGGCTTTAAATAGGCTTTGAGCCTATTTAAATAGACTAAAAGCCTATTTAGAACCTATTTTGAAGCCTTTTTAAAAGCCTTTTTACTAAATAGGCTTTTAAAAAGGCTTCAGGCCAGGCCAGGCCTACTGTAGGCTCAGGCTTGAGCCTAAAAAAAGCCTACATACAGGCCTAGGCCCAGGCCCAGGCTTTAAGTTTTCCTAACAGGCCCAGGCCTAATTTTAAAAAGCCTGGCTCGGCCTGGCCTATTTCCACCCCTAAACACAGCAAAGCATAAAATTTTAGGGAAGAAGAACAAGCAAAGCATAAAATTAAAAAAAAAAATAAACTTATCAAATAATATAAAAAGTAAAAAATAATGGAAGAAATAAAAATAATTGAATCATACAATTCTGGTCATTTTTTTATTCATTTTCTGGAAAATGAACCAAACATAGACAGATAGTTTTTCGTTGTGCAGCCAAATACCAGAAAAGAAAATGTTTTTTAAAAAATAACTCATTTTCCAGAAATCATTTTCCTACTTTCCAAACAGACCCTTAGTGTTGGTCCAAGCAAGCAGTCCAAAAGGGAAATGGGTTTAAAGTTTTTAAAACATTTTAGATTAAAAATATAATTGAGTAAGAGAATGGGCTTAAAGTTTTTAAAACATTTTAGATTAAAAATGTAATTGAGTAAGATAATGTGCAACCAGGGGCGGATCCAAAAGATTATGTGAGTGTGGGTATATTTAAAGCGACTTTAGAATTGTTAATGCTAAAATACCAAACACATATAATATGCTTCAAATACATTATAAATTATAATAAAATGTTTATGATAGACTACATGATAGTTAGGGGTGGAGTCAAAACTATACTTGGGTATGGTGAAATTTTAAAACACTTTGAAATGTTATAAAAATATTTATAGCAAAATAGAAAACACAATCAATTAGATAAAATAGTTTGAATAGAAAACAAATTATATTCATAAATACTTTAATTTTAATTTTTTTTTTAATTAGATCAACTTTAAAATTTTCTAAATTAATCTGAATACGATGAAGTATATAATATAAACTTGTGGACTACATTAACTAAATGATTCACAAAAAGAATAGACTTTGAGAAGAGCTAAAATAAAGAAAAGAAACTAAAATATACAAAAATGTTATAAGTAAGATTCAAACCCACAACATTTCATATCATATCATATCATAATCAAGGTTCAACCAACTAAGCCACTGAATTATTTAATCATCTTTACATATAAATATATATTAAGCGATTGGAGAGGGGTGAGTGGGGGTCCATTGTGGCTCCAGCACTGTGTGCAACAAAAGTTTTTTTTTTTTTTCTTTTTTTTTTTTTGAATATTGCTTTCTCAACCTAATGAAACATAAAGAGTTAATATCACATTCACTGAAACTCAAACTCACAACCTCCCTTATAAAAGAGCAACTTAGTGTCATTGGACCAGAAGGTCCAGAAGGTCCTTGGCTGCAACAAAAGTCTTTGCTTGCATATAAAGTAATTACAAGTTGGTTTGAATAAAGTTGTTTGCGTGAAAGCTAGTGTGTATGTAAATGTTTTATGGTTGGCATTGTAAACGCGAAAAATTTGAACTATATATATTCAAGTTCAAAGTGTCGGTTACAAGTAGTATGAATCAAATAGGAAGGGGTATTACAATCTCTGAATATGAGAAGTCTTCTGATTCTCTACTAGAAGTATGCATATTAGAAGTGTGCTGAATTGGAAGTATGTCGAATTCGGAGTATGCTGAACTAGAAGTATACCGAGTTCGGAATATGCCGAACTGAAAGTATGCCGAGTTCGGAGTATGCTGAACTGGAAGTATGCCGAGTTCGGAGTATGCCGAACTGGAAGTAGTTCCTTACTGAAGGGCCTCCGGAGTTAAGTAGCTTGTTCTTGAATGAAGGGCTAATATGCAGCTTGATCTTCAAAGAAGGGCTTCCGGTAATCAAATGGCGTGTTCCTCAGCACAGTATAACTGCGTGCTTGTTCCAAATGATATTCTGGCGAGATTCCGGCAGAACTTCGGTATGCAGATCTTCTGAGCTCCCTTTCCTTGAAATGAAACCACTATTTATAGTGGTGAGTGTAGAGAAAATCTTTCCAAAAGGTTGAACCCCAACCATAAGGGCCCCCACACCCCGGCCCGACAGAGCATCTAGGAGGATGTAAATCATGATAACTCAACTGAACATGAACCACAAAGGCTAGACCTTTGCTTACTGCGCACAAGGAGCCCCCTCACTTTGAGAGGTTGCTCCCACACTACCGCTGGTGAGACTCGATCCTAACCCTATCACTTTGGATAATTCTTACATTTAATTTAATTATTTAAATTAAATTAAGAAATGTATCAGAACACCATTATGTCCAGGTTCATGATCCCATCTAATTTCCAAGCAATTTATAATATCCACAATTTCCAAAATTATGCATTCCACATATAATTTTGATGGGGCAAAACCAATTCAATTATGCAGCCCAATTAATCCAGAGAGCCTAATCCAATTCCATTAAATACTACATCATCTTGAGCTAAATAATCCAACATCCAATTACATTTAGTTAAGTAATTAGACTAATTAATTATTTAATGGGTCATTTAATTAACTCAATTAAATAAATATCAGTCCAATTAACCCAATTAAAGTAATTAATTTAATAATTAAATATTCAGCACAGCCCAATAGCACACAAATCAATCCAATTAAATTTTCAATAATAACAAAAATTTCACCTTCGAGACTTGCTTACGTGCCTTAAAGCAGGGTAAATTATGCCCTGGAAACGTGTTCACCATGAATGGTGAATACGGGTCCAAACGGCGCCATTTTTACGTTAAAAAAAAAAAATTCTCTAATATGGTGTTAACGGCGCGCGTTTGGTCAGATTATGAATTTTCTGTTATGAGATTATGAATGTACTGTAAATTCATAATCTCATAACAGAAAATTCATAATCGCATAAAAGAAAAACATTTATTAAATTATGAATTTTCTGTTATGAGATTATGAATTTACTGTAAATTCATAATCTCATAACAGAAAATTCATAATCTCATAACAGAAAATTCATAATCTCATAACAGAAAATTCATAATTTATGAATGTTGAAGAAGCTTGCGCTACAGAGGAGCAGCCATGGTTTCAGACAGGAATGTGTAGGCATGGTTCCAAAGTGAATGTGCAGGCATGGATTCATAATTTATGAATGTCCGAAATCATTGCTCACCTCAAATTAAAGTGAAACCGCGAAATGTGAAAATGAAGAAGAAAAGTCACGCGATTAATTAAGGAAAAAAAAAAAAGATAACGTTGCACTAACACCGTTGGGACCGTGTTCACCATGATGGTGAACACGGTTCCATGGCATAACGATTGTTAAAGCAGAGGGAAGGTAATCTTGAAATTAACCGTAGTAGTCCAAGAGTACGTATTTGTAGATAGCAACCCAATAAATGTCATTTTGACCACAAAAGCCCAACAAAACCATATCCAAAAGCCAAAGTACGTCCGCAATCACATTAAAGGGTCGTTTGGTTCACGGAATATCAGATTACCTTTGGGAATGTGCTGAGAATCTTAGATTCCTGTGTTTAGTTAAAATTGGAGTATGTAATATAATCATGTTTGGTTTAGAGTTATCTTTAATACACACACTATAATATCCCTAACATAACCAATGTTATCTTACATAACCTAAGAAATTGAAGGGAATCACATTCCCTTCAAAATTCTATGTGGAGGGAATGTTATCTCTAAGATAATATAAACCAAACATAGGAATGTGGGTTTTGGAATGTCACATTCCCTTGGTTATGTTATATAACCTGAACCAAACACCCCTAAAGGTACATCTTATTTGTTCTCTCTTAACTTTAGCCAAAATTATTTTTTTTCCTTCAAAATCAGAAAATTGAACACAGCTCATGCACGCCCAATCTGGTCACATTCACTTTTAGAGACACAATCCTTATCCCATTGTTAATAATAATAATAACATTGCCCTCTAGTAGACCAAATTTTGGGCAAATTGAATAACAATTCTCATTGTTTATTGTTTTCTTGACTTTGATTCCAATGTAATCAACAATTATTCTTTACAAATATTCTAATGAACCCAAAACCATACTGCAGAATAACTGATGCATATTAGAGTTTCAGAAATGTACATTACTAGTTTGAGCAGGCAGCGTCAGAATTCAGATGCCAGATTCTCAAAATCTTACCGATCTGCCTTCCAAGTCTTGTTACAATTCAGGTTTAACATCGTCGTGTAACTGTACTTTTCCAAAACTTGCTATGACTCCATCAGCTAGTCTTTTTTCATTGCTCTGTCATCCCTTACGTGACTCTGATCTGAAAAATCTGCGGTACGAGAACCACTTCCACATCATTGTCAATATCTATGCAATGGTAATCTAGCTTTCCCTGATGATTATTTTCTTCTTTGCATTCCAGCTGCCTATCTCCGTTGCCTTTAGATCTGCATAATGCAATTTATTGCCAAACGTTTAGGCAATTCAAGTAAAATTCAGAGCTGTTTCAAATTCATCTAAACATTGCAGCACCTGTTAGTTCATATATGAATGGATGTCAACTATTTCTTGATGCTTATAATCTAATAATGGTGCTGTTAAGAGTCCCACGTTGATGAGTAAGAGAGAAAAATATGTGTTTATAAGGCCATGAGTTAGACTTGCTAATTGATTGGACTGTCTTTTAGTGTAGTTTAGCCATGTGCATTATAGCCCAATTGAGTGGTCCTTGACCTAATCCTAGATTATAAGATGAGCCAAGACAAGCAAATTTTTATGTGGACAATAAAAAATTACATTTTTAATATATTAAAAGTACATTATTTGTGTACTGAATGTACATTATACAAAATAATGTACTTTATGTACACAAATAATGTACTTTTTATTTATGAGTCCATGATCCACACAATAATGATTGGCCAAGACAATTCGGATTAAATGGCAATGATACAGGCAAGGTACAGTTTATAGGCCACAAATTTAATTAAATTATGACAAAGCAATATTTTTATATTGCTCAACAATTATGGCAAAGCAATATTTTTAATGAGAAAATGATTTTCTGCCATGATCTCACAGGCAAGAATGCAAGTGAAGAAGGAACTTACTCTCTGGGCTCATCCATATAGGTGTCCTCTCTTTCTGATAGCGTTTTTACAGGGTAACTAATGGAGACATGTCGGACAAATTCAAGCTGCAAATATTAAACAAGGGAAACACAGACAGAACATTTTAAAAAATTTTATTAATGCAATTTTTAAAGATATATTTCAAATATCAAAGGTTAGCATAAGGTCAGAAATGAGAAACTGGGGAAAGTGTGAGCACGATGTAATGATTTTGTCTCAACTAGCTTTTCATTTCTATTTAATGTGTACTTGGACATAAAATTTGTAACCAAAGGACATTAATACTTTAAACTCATAAATCACATTATTCACAATCAAGACATCGCTAATTAGTATGTGGTTTTACCTGCAATGAGAGGGAACATTCCAAATAGGGCTAGGAATCCAACAGAAATAAATTCAATTGTAGAAGTAGAAAACTAACTTCATGATCCAAAATCATTCAATTGCTTGGAGTCTGTAATGCTCAAAGGTTTAATCTTTACTTGCATTCTTAAAGCTACCCTAAGGTCTCATTTTCCCGATTACAAAATGTTTTTTATTTCCAGCAACCACACTCAAAAGGAAACAACGAATTAGATCGGGAAGGCCTAGCTACTATTGACAGCATACCTGATCACCCTCCTTGATTCCATAATTTCCTATAGAATCAGAGTCGGTGAGAAGCTTCTGACCATCATAACTCAAGCAAAAATTTCCCCATACATGCGACCTGTATAAGATTAAAACCAAATTTCATAAAAGTTAGAAAGAGCTCCTCAAGACAATCTGATCACATCTTGCAAATACATAGATGACCTTTGAGACAGCTTAACTCTAATCAGGATTCAAGAAAATTAACTAACATCAACTGCTCAGAAAAACACAACTACAGTAAATTAATTCACTATGGCAAACACCCACAAGTTCAGGAGCTAAACAGTGAACTGAAAGAACAAAAGAGCCAATATAATAGCATAACATCTAAACCAAGTGGGGTTATTCATCAATGCAAGCCAAAATAAGCATAAACAGAGTGTTTTAGCTAGTGTCTTAACAAGATGAATAAAACAATGGGGATCAAGGACTTCAAACTCCATTATCTTCTGCACACGAACCATCCAAATCAGAGAATTTCGATGGATCTTTTTAGCATGAAACACAGAAATTCCTACTATGCTAGTATGGATACAAAACCAAAAATTTGAAATTCACTAAAGATGCAAATTTGATCCCACTTTTCCCTATAACATACAATATAAGCACATACCATGAGACTGTGCCCGGACCATTCTTGGGCAAATGACGGAACGCCGCCTCCACCCCTTTTTTCAGGTTAACCACGGTCCCATTCCTCGCTACATAGATCTCTACAAAACCCCACAAGAACCAATTGTTAAAAATTACTACATGTACGAATGTTCATATACACATTTAAACAAACACCTTATAAGCAGAGATAGGGGGAGTTATACGAAAAAATACCGAAACAAGTGCCGTCCAATTTAAGAACGGCGAGCCAGATGGCATCCTGCGGGCGCTTGTTGTAGAAAACGCTTTTCCTGGAAATTTGATCGCGCAGCGAGAATGGGACTCCACTGGAGGACAATGAGACCATTGGGCTTTCTTTATAGGCTTTCGCCCCGTGAACTTCCATAGTTAAAGACTAGAAAACCACAGCCGCCACCGCCTCAACGTTCATCACCATTTATAAGAACAACATTATTGTTCTCTCTTTTTTTCCTGCTTGAAATAACATAGAGAAAACCTTCTCGAAGGGCTTTCGTATTGATTCCAGAGATTCTTTGGTGAAGAGTTGAAGGCAGGGTTAGGCATGTGTTTGGAGAGATTCTAGACGGAGAACGGGAGAAGAAGAGGAGAGAGAGAGGGATCTCTCACCTCTTCTGTCTCACGCAGTCACGCAACTTTTCCTCTGTGTTTTGGGTGATTTCTTCTTCTGCACAGAGGAAGTGAAGCCGAGGCTAACTTTATCCTAGATAATAGGTTCTATTTCAAATTCAAAAGTGGATTATTATCTTTATTTCAACATTTTTTTTTTGAAAATCATATCAACATATTAAATAAAAAACACGAGTATAAGAAAGGGAAAATGACACTTTTTCCCCTGAGTTATATACTTATAGCACTTTTTCCCCTCAATTATTCAAGTGGCTGTTTTTCTCCTTAAAATGTTAAATGGACATATTTACCCTTAAAATAAATATTTTATTTATTTTTCTTCTCCAACAAATTATGACCATAATTTGCTTCAAACCAAATAAACACTATAGCAACCAAACCGAAATATTCCAATTACAATTTAGAATCGAACTCGATATTTAGAGTTTATTAAAATTCCGGAACGGACGGTTCATGTTCCGAACTGAAAAAATAAAATACATTTATTGTTGAATTTAGACTATTTTTAAAATAAAAATAAAATTTTAAAATAAAAACGATTCAAAATCGCGAATCGGGTCCGGAACCGCCAGCTCACGGTTCAGGATCCAATTTTTTTGATTCATAATTTTAATAAATTGAAATCCAAATATTGGGTTCTAGATCTGAATTATAACCGGAAACTTTTAATTCGATTGCTATAGTGTCCGATTCAGTTCGAACCGAATCGTAGTCATCCCTACGTATACGCAATAATTTGTTGGAGAAGTAAAATAAATAAAATGTTTATTTTAAGGGTATAAATGTCAATTTAATATATTAGGGGGTAAAACAACCACTTTTAGAATAATTGAAGGGGCTAATGTGCTTACCTAAATAATTAAGGAGAAAAAAGTGCTATAAGTATATAACTCAGGGGAAAAAGTGTCATTTTCCCTATAAGAAATTAATTATACATTTTATTTTTGTCAATGTATGAGTGATACAGTTCACAGGTCACTTAACAAAAGAAAATTTCAAACTATTAAACGTAGATGTAATTTCTTTAACATCTTTCACAATCTATTCAAACACACTGTTGTGCTATAACATAGTCTACAAAAAAAATGAAAGGTAGTCTGCCTCCCCCTACCGCATAGCACCTACTCCTCCCTAGGCTATCTTTCGTATAGGAGGGACCCTAGCCATGGCCCTCCTATCCCGCAACCTATCTTTCGTATGAAGACAAGAACTACTTAGCTACAAACAAAAACAAAAACAAAAACAAAAAAACAAAAACAAAAAAACAAAAACAAAAAAACAAAAAAAAAACAAAAACAAAAAAAAACAAAAAAAAAAACAAAAACAAAAAGCAAAAACAAAAACAAAAATTAGAAAAAAAAAAAAAAAACAAAAACAAAAGGGTAACATTTGTAATGTTCTAAGTAGTCCAGGTAATTCTCAAGAGTCCCATAGACTTTTCTTATACGGGTATTGTCACGGCGGTTGTCGTCTTCTTTCTTTATTTTAGACGGAGTTAATTCCACCAGTGGTCCTTTGACTTTGGTGGTAATTCTAAGTTTAGTCTCAGACTATTGTTTTTATCACTTTACATCCCAGACTATCATTTTACATTCCAGACTATTGGTGGTAATCCTTTGTTTTTATCATTTGGTAGGTCATTAATTTGTTTTTGGACTTCATTGCACTTAAATGAATTGTTGAGGGGTGTAATTGCACCTTTAAAAAGTTTAGGGGCCTAATTGACTTTTAAGCTAAAGTTCGAGGGCCTATTTGACCCTTTTCCCTTATTATTAAGTATTATTATTGTATAGGGACATTTAGGTCTTTATACACATTATTCCTTACAATCACAAATCCAACCAATAGAATCCATATTCCCAGTAACTCATTTTCCACCAACCAAACAATGGAATCCATATTCCCAAATAACTACTTTTCCATGGAATTTCAATTCCATTTCCTTTCAAATATTTTCCGCGAGCCAAACGAGCCCTTAGTCCTTCTCATGATTTTTTCTATCTTTAGTAAGGGCATTTTTGTCTCTTCATATTTTTATTTTTTTATTTTTCCGGTTTCAACCAGTTTAATTGGTTTAGGACTTTACTAAAACTTGGTTGAAAAATATGATTACTAAAAATAAGAGGTTACCTATATTTCTAAACCAATTAAACTGGTTGAAACTGGAAAAAATAACAAAAGAAAAATATGAAAAGACAAAAATGTCCTAATTAAAAATAGAAAAAAATCATGAGAATGACTAAAATTAAAGTGTCCAAAAAACAATAGCCTGGGATGTAAAATGACAAAAATGATAGTTTGGGACTAAATTTAGAATTGCCACCAAAGACAAGGGACCTCTGGTGGAATTAACTCTTTTAGACGAGTAGTTTGTTTGAATTTTTAGCATAAAATGATATTTTAGTGGCTATTTGTGGTACAAATATATGTGGTTCCACTTCCAATTTAGGTCGGATCAAAGTGGATTCATACTCTTCATATTGAGACGAAGAAATTGATATATTGTACATTCAAAACGGATAATGAGTGAATGAGAAATTGATTCTTAAAATAGATTCATTTGAGTTGGAAAATGAAGATTTAAGGGTGCGTTTGGTTCACGGAATCTTGGATTACCCCAAGTAATAGAATTACCTCCTGGAAGGTAATGTGAGATTTTGGGAATGTAAGATTAGTAGATTACCTTGTGTGTTTGGTTTGTATGGTGTAATATAATATTACCTTGTTTGGTTCATGGTTATATTTTAGGTTATATGGATCAATTTATAATAATGTCATCAATAATATATATATATATATATATATATATATATATATATATATATATATATATATATATATATATTATGTGTGTGTATTTGAATGTATATCAAAGCTTAAATATTAAAAAAACTAAATATATAAATATACACATATGTATATTTGATTATATAAACATATATTAATTTCATTATTATTATTATTATTATTATTATTATTATTATTATATAAGGATTAGTTAACAGGGCAAGGTTGAAATAATTCAACGTAATATAAGCTTACCTAAAAAAATGAGGGTAATCACATTACCTTGAAACATTACCGCCACATCAGCTTTCAGGTAATATAACATTACATGGTAATCTCATAACTTGAACGAAACAAGGTAATGTAACATTGTCAGACTCAGATTACCTAGGTAATCTAAGATGACCTGAACCAAACGCCCCCTAAAGGCTTTGGAAAAGAACTTGTCCCACATTGATTTGGAAAATAAATTTGCACTATTATATATACAAGAAATCTTTTAGAAAAGGTTGACTTATATAGTATAGAATATTTAGAATCTCTCTTTTATTTCGGGATTGTCCATGTACTCCTTGATGTTAGTATTTTCCCTTTTGTAATGAGTAGTTGGCTTTGGCTTTTTCTTTAAGGGTATATTTGGAAACTAAGAAAATAATTTCTGAAAATAATTTTTCGAGTTTTCAATATTTGAATATGTCTAGAAAATCAAGTGAACATAAATTATTTTCCGTTGACTTTGAAAAACATGCTTGCTTTGGAGGGAAATGACTTCCCTTCTCTTTTTGAGGAAGTCATTTTCCAACTTTTACACCAACACCACACCACCACCACTACCACCACTAGTACTACCACCACCAACATACCACCGCAACCACCACCACCACCACCGCTATACCACCAATTATTATTATTATTATTATTATTATTATTATTATTATTATTATAACAAATAACACCACCACCACCATTACCATCACCAACACCACCATTACTATACCACTTATTATTGTTGTTGTTGTTGTTGTTGTTGTTGTTGTTGTTGTTGTTGTTGTTATTATTATTATTATTATTATTATTATTATTATTATAACAAATAACACCACTACTACTACCACTGTACTACACCACCACCACTAACATCACCAACACCACCACCACCACTACTATACTACTTATTATTATTATTATTATTATTATTATTATTATTATTATTGTTGTTGTTGTTGTTGTTGTTATTGTTTTGAATTACAAGACTTTGGTTAGTTATTTTGATATCTTATTAGTTATATTATATTATATTTAAAATTATTATTATATTATTATACATGTTATATTTTTAATAAAACAATTAAAATGTTTAATTTTACTCATTTTTCAGAAAATGAACCAAACACACCAAAGATAGTTTTTCATAATGCAACCAAACACTTGAAAGGAAAATATTATTTAAAAAATGACTTATTTTTCAAAAAACATTTTTTAGAAGTCATTTTCCTACTTTCTAAATGGTCCCTAAAAAAACAAGTTAAAAAAACAACTTTATGCTTACGTATTCAAATAACAATGCATATTTAATTTGTTATATTATATTTATACGCAATTTGGAATTTGGACATGTTAATTACCAAATCCCTCATGGGGCTCTCTAATTAAAGAAGTGAAATAACCTATTAATTGAAACCAAATTAAATATGAATATTTCATCTGAAATGCATGAAATATTAAGGAGAACACCATACATTATTATATTGCCACAAGGATCTATGTGATATATATACGATATGTACAAGGTTTCTGCCTCCCTTCTTCATTACAAATTGCATAATACAGATTAGAGTGAATACACTAAAAAAAAAAAAAAAAAAAAAAAAAAAAAAAAACAGATATAGTATAAGTAATAATACAAATACAATAGAAGCCATGGTAACTTAGATTTCAAAGGACCGATTAAAAGGGCAATGATATAACGCTTCACATCTTTCTCAGGGTAAGTATAGCCATCTTGCCTTTGCGCATATACCACTTCATTCATGCGAGCATGGTTGATAATACGCATAAGAACCTCGGTCGTAACAGCTGGTGGAGTTGGTTGAAGAATCTCATTGTTGGTATCTTTCCAGGCGTTCTCAGTCATTTCTTGAAACTTGTCCATTGCTTCTTCAACAGATACACCATAATCATTCACGTAATAATCAATCCCTGTTGCAATTGGTCGGGTGCTTTTCTCACGCTACATAGGTAAACGGCGATGGAACTTATTAGAAAAATCAACTGTAAATAATATAAAATGT